CCTAAGGTGAAGTCCATCCCGCAGTTCGACCGGCAGGTGCCGCGCGAGAGCCCGGTGATCTCGCACAACCCCTACGCCCGATAAGGCGCGGTGGCCTTCCTTCGCATTTGGGGGGGCGGGTGGGGCGGAAAAATTGGGTTTGAGGGGTTGAGAATTGGAATGGGGAACGCCAGCGCCGCAATAGGCGTCGCATAATCCAGTTGATCTTCACCGCCGAGCTGATTTTTTTTTTAAAAAGATGGTGAACATTTCACTGTTGAATTTGATCACCCTTTTTGCCTGCAAAAAAAATAAGGAGTTCGGGAGAGGTCATATTCCTTATGTTATTTCCCTTTCTATACATGTTTATGTAGATATATGACACTAATAATATATATATATATATATATATATGTATGCATGTTTACTCATCACAATGTATATGGCAAACATGTTGAAGTAGATCACAGTCACCACGTGTACACTGTACTGTAGTTCTGACTCTATTTTTATATTCATCGCTTTGTGTGCATCCTATGATTCCACCAATATGTTTTTCCTTTGAACATGCTTCAAGCAATTGAGGATCAGGCGAGCGACGCAATGATATGGAAATAAACGTCATGACGTATTATTAAAAACAAACAAAACAAACTCAATTGTTTCTTCACCTACACAGGATATTTTTTTTTTCACTAGGGTAGGGAGGGGAAGTGCGCTACGGCTGCCCCAGGAACATCCCAAAGTGTTTTCCATCAACCATTAGACATCTAATTCACACGCAAAACAACACCGCACATTCTCAGGCGTCAACCAATAGTCCAACTATACCCACTTTCCCGAAGGTGGGTTCCCATTGCCGTCTAGAAAACTTCGAAAAAACAAACAGGCGACTCCCCATCCCGTTCACGAAGGCGCGATCCCATCGCCGGGCCCTGTTAGTGCCGGGATGCTCAGCGAGGACCCGAATTTCGGCGCGACGAGCGGGTTTCTCGCGCTGGATTCGCCGTCCCTGCGGTCCTGCGAGCCCGCCCGGGACGACCCGAGGCCGGTGGTGAGTTTTGGCATCCGCGGCTGCGTCCGGCGGCGGGTTTTCCGCCTGCTCGACGAAGTTGGCGGGGGGCGCAAAGTGCTGATCTGCGATGCGGCCGCGGCGGCCGTCCTGAGCGCGGCCCTCCGCATGACCGACCTGCTCGACCACGGCGTTGTTCTCGTGGAGGACCT